TAGCTCAAGATGTAATTGTGGCACAAGTGGATGAATGAATAAATAAATGAATGAATGACTGAATTTAGTTCTCTGCCCCCACTCCTCTTACCTTCAGACAGTTCTGACGGAGGTTTCAATCAGAGACAGGATATCTGAAAGGAAGCAGCATGGTTGTGCTCTTCTCATTGGAGACCTGCTCGTACTCAGTAATTCCTGTGTTATAAGTGAGTCCGGCATCGTACGTCTATTGTAAAACAAAAAATGTATATAAATATGTAGCACTACGAGTACTGATCTTCAATAAATATTGACTTTCAGAAGACCAACAGCTCAATTACAAATGTCCTTACATGCAGGGCCGGATTTGCTCTCTCTGCTGCCCTCCCCCCATGGAGAATGGCAGACCAACAGGCTGCATACAAAACATGCGGCGGCTTCCCCGCTGTACATTTAGCTCTGCTTGCCCAAAGCCGGGCTACATGTAGAAAACAAATACCGGCCCATCACCCGGAACTGCATGTCCCGGGCATCGGGAGATAAGAATTCCACACCCCTGCTGCCCCTCTGCTCCCTGCTGCCCCGAGGCCAGGCCTTGGTTGGCCTTGTGGGAAATCCGGGCCCTGCTTACATGGCGGTGTAATCCCAGGCACATTCAATCTCAGGTGTGGTTCATTTCTGAGGACGTAAAAATAGATGGACACCAGTCACTTTAGAACGGGTTTATTGCAAATTACGAAATGGGAAGGAGGGTTAGGTGCAGAATGTGGATGCCCTCAAAACATGGATGCAGTTAAAAAAACCAAACTAGCCTAAAATATCTTCTTATTCTCTCACCTCTGACAAAGTCTCTCTCTGTAACATATGAACACGGACTATGCTGGCTGGAAACTTATAGAATTTTGGCTCCTTGGCAATTGAGGTTCTAGTTCAGTTTTTATGTTCCAAGGCTGGACAACATGGAAAGGTCTCTGCAAATTTCACGCCAACCGGATTTGCTGTGAATATTTGTGACCACGTTGTTTTCAACAATAATGCACTCCATGGCCGTTGAACTATGGCCAGCAAACAGCAGAAAACACCAATATGTGCCCGTGTGTCGCCAGTACGTTTTGTCATAGCCTTGCTCATAAAACTGTCCTGCAGCTGCCTAGCTTTAAAAACTGCTGTATTATACGCGGCCTCTTAATTTCTAATAAGAGTTTGATATAAATTAGCAGCTGACCAGTTTCTATCTGCTGGGCACAGTGGGCCTATTACCGTGGGAGGCAAATCTGCAACTACGCTAGTTTGTGTCCTCCTGTTACCCTAAGGAGAACTATGGGGAAAAACACTGACCCCATAGTTCTCCTTTAAAGAATTTGTGAACTATGGGGTCAGTGTTTTCCCCATAGTTCTCCTAAGGGTCACGGGAGGACACAAACTAGCGTCCTCCTGTCACCCTCCTGTATAGCAAGCTACAGCTCGCGGTATACTGAGACCGCCGGACCCGGGACGGATCCCGACATTACTGTAGAGATCCACCCAGCTGCGTGATTGACAGCTGGCTCTGCCTATCTAGAGGCAGAGCCAGCTGTATCCGCCCCCTCCCCCGTCCGTTCCGCCAGTCAGCGCTGGAGGATCAGAGCGGGGAGGGGGGAATCCCTGCGGGAAGCTGTGAGTGACAGTGACCACTCTCTGCAGGGACAGGATCGAGAAGTGAGCGAGCGACAGTATGTGTTCGCTCACTTCTCGATCTATTGAGCCGAATTGTGACAGTCTCATTGCGACACGTCGGCTAGAACTATGAGGTGAGTGATTTTCACTCGCCTCATAGTTCTCCTTTAATGAAATCAGGTTCTCCACTCGCCAAGTCTGATTATGGAGAGGTTTATGGAAGTATGACCTGGCCGTGCTGTCTGGCACGAGGCGAAGCATCACAGAGCTGGCTCAACGGATTGACACATATTTTGGGGTGCACCGATCCTGTATTCAGTGTTATCCCGGAGTTCAGCTTTACTTGAAGGAAGCCCAAAGTTGGCTGGAATGACCCCTAACTCTTCAGCCCCTTATATCTGGTCATCCTAATAACGTTCTTCAGACCCAGAAATCTACTCAATCAGAAGTAATAGGACTAATGACAGTCACATCGTGAAGAGGAATACGGAGCTCGGCTCTGGGAATATGATCCCTCGGCAGAGGAAACATTTACTTTATCTTAATGAGCAATTATAAAGTCTTAATATGAGACCTTGTCACTGTAACCCAGCGGGTGAAAACCATCGGGGAGTGAATCTGTAGGATGAACCTGTGTATAAATAAGAGGCCGGGAAGACTAAGTCACCGGAAATCCGAGTGTGACCACCCAGAAATGTAAGTACATATCATTCTCCGACACTGAGGGCTCATCCACACCACCCCTGTACTGTTACTGGGCCATACAGTTCTGGTTTAGAGTGTCAGCCTCATGCACCTACATGTGCACCATACCTACAATGACTTTCAGTACCAACAGGATGTGTTGCAGTCCCCAGCCAGCTTCTGGGATATCCCACCATCAGATCACATGCTATGGCCAGCCCCATGCCACCCGTTGCTTCTCCTCCACCTGCCTGCTTAGTCAATGCACCATTGTTTGATAGAGCCAGGGGTGGGCTGCTCTTTAGTCTCGTGACCATTGACACCAATGACCTTTTCACCTATCTGTAAGGGAACCCTTCTTCTCACTGACCACAAACCTAAGGTAACCCTTCTCCCAATCAACGCCTAAGCCAAGGGAGCCCTACTCCCAATCAACGACTAAGCTGAACTGCATATCCCTGGGCCCTTCCCTCTCTAATTAGGCAGCCGCTCTTACGGCCTTGCGGCCGCCTAGTTATCCTCATTAGAAAGCCGCCGCTGCCCGATTCTGTGCCGTCCAGTCTCGGCCCACCGGGTAAGTGCCCAGTATGCCCATAGGCAAGTCCGGCCCTGTCCGCCTCATTGGTTTGGGGTCGTGTTTTCTGCCGCCACCCTGGAAAGTGCTGCCCTAGGCAAACGCCTAGTTTGCCTTTCGGTAGATACCCCCCTGATAACAGTATGTAATATTACCATATAAAAAAAAAGTACAGCATATGAATACAGCAGGTTACATAGAAGATGGAGATATAATAACTACTAAAAGTCAGCAATGGTAAAATGATAACATGTAACAAACCATGGCAAGCATTATTATTTACCAAAAACAGAAAGAGAAGAATGTATGGAGACAAGAGACACGGAAGCATTAAGGAATAGAGTGACAATAGAGGAAAGAAAGAAGGAAAGAGATGTTATAAGGCACACTCTCAAGATGCATATATTCCAGATGTTAGGCAAATTGTGCCATGAGTGTCTTATAAAGTCACCAGGTGTCTATCAAATGAAGAGGGCAGGTAGTGTTTAATCCGGGATTCCCACACTTTTTCAAAAACAGCCATTCTGTGTCTTTTTATTATTTATATAAAGTATTATTTTAATTACATTACAGGATTATCCAACACAACACAGTGACAAAGATTTTCCACTCTCCTGGCTAAATGTTGATTTGCCAGTTCTGTATGCTTAGCCTGACCAAACTGTTCCATTCTTAGCCTGGCTGTTGGGCTGGTTCTCCAGGACTTCTAGGGATCAAATGTTTTTTCCTGAGGTTTCTAGGGGCAGAGCAGTGGTTAGAGTTTTTTCTTTCTGATGGTGGCTGCTTAGTCAATGCACCGTCGTTTAATAGAGCCAGGGGTGGGCTGGTGAAACCTCTTTAGTCTCGTGACCATTGACACCAATGACCTTTTCACCTATCTGTAAGGGAACCCTTCTTCTCACTGACCACAAACCTAAGGTAACCCTTCTCCCAATCAATGACTAAGCTAAGGGAGCCCTTCTTCCAATCAATGACTAAGCTAAGGGAGCCCTTCTCCCAATCAACGACTAAGCTAAGGGAGCCCTTATCCCATCCCTGCACAGATTCAAGGTACCCCATGGCAGACGCATCAAAGCAGCCACATAAATAAAATTTGCCTTTTCCATTTCATCACAGTAGGTACAGTGTTCTTTTCTTTGAAAGTTTCATTTTTTTGTCTGTGAACATAGAGGTGATGTGACTTACCAAAAAGCTTCAGTTTTGTCTCATCTGTCCGAAGGACATTTTACCGGAAGCATTGTGGCTTGTCAATATGCATTGTAGCAAATTTCAGTCTTGCTAAGGGTTTTCAAGACTTAGGGTACATTAGGTTAAGTGGGGAAGAGGTCCATCATGGGACCGTGCTGAGTAGGTTTAAAAGAAAAGGCTTGCACCTCATCTTAATTCTCCAACACCCACCCCACCATTATCAGCAACATCCTTCACCAGGCAGGTGTCCCTTCTGAAGCTGAATCATCTCCATGTCCAGGGTCTTAAGGGCTATCTTGGCAAAACCCCTGGCTTTCCAGCTGCTCCATTTCCCGCTCATGGAATCAGCCCCCTTCTGCAAGTTCATGGCTTGTGCTACACCACAGTGGCAGGTACACAGCCACCAGCATGCAGAAGTAAATGCGTCAGACTGCCAGCAGTAGGGTCCACGTGAGCATAGACATGTGGTCCAGCAAGCATGGGCTGGGATGCTACATATCCTTCATTGCACACTGGGTTAATTCACTGGTGGGTGGGAAGGTTTTAAGATGGGGCACACCACTGGAGTTATGGAGCCACCCTGTGCCTTGTACGTTTGTGACAGCACAGTCACCTTACCCCCTCCTCCTCACTGAACTTATCCTCAGCCTGGTCCTGTTCTCAATCTGGTGGCACTGTGGTTCCTGATTAAGTACTGGCTTCTAGAAGGTCCTGCGTCAGGTCAGAATAGTTTGTGGCCACTTTAGGCATACTAGGCCAGCGTTCACTTGACTGGTTATGCCTAAAATGCAGCACCGACATACACTGCCTACCAACCATTTTTACATTTTGGATTTCAGCTTTAGCTGTCCTATTTCTTGTATTCATAATTTTATTTTCCTTCCGCAGCATTCTTTGAAGAAATATCATTAGTTGTCTGATGGCCAACCAGAGTGGGGTCACAGAGTTTTTCCTCCTGGGATTTCCGGGACTCCCGGAAAAATACAATGCCATCCCTTCCTCCATTATGTTCTTGGTTTATATCCTGTCATTGTGCGCCAACAGTACCGTCTTATGTTTGGTCATTGTGAAAGAGACTCTACACGTGCCCATGTACATACTGGTCGGATACCTGGCCCTTTCTGACCTGATCTCGGATGTGGCTACTTTGCCGAAAATCATCGCCCGCTATTGGTTTCAGGCCGGCTCCATCTCCTTCTCCGCCTGTTTTTTCCAAATGTTTCTTTTCCATTATCTCAATTCACTTGACTCCTTGATTATCATGCTGATGGCTTTCGATCGCTTTGTTGCCATTTGCAAACCACTTCAGTATCAAACCATCGTCACCACCAAGCTTGTCTTTTCTCTCTCTTTCATTGTTACACTTCTGGCCGCTTCCGTCGGCATTTACTGCGTAAGGTGTGGACTGGTTCTTAGTTACTGCGGCCCCAACAAAATCAGGAACATTTTCTGCGCTGTGACCTCGGTGTCAGTGTTATCCTGCATGGACTCCCTTCCCATCAGGGAGGAGATGTCCTTTTTAGCTATCGGCATACACATGGTTCCGTTGGGATTTATCGCTTTCTCTTATGCCATCGTAATCTCCAAGCTCTGCACGGCGGTCCGATCGGAAGGCTGGAGGAAGGCGTTTTACACTTGTACCACGCACTGGTTCGTCATCACGTTGCACTTCATCCCGCGTGTGGTGGTCTATTCCTACAACCGCGCTCAGTTGATTCCGAACGCCGACGTGAACATCTTGCTCATTTGCCTGTACACCTACATCCCCCATGTGTCCAGCCCGATCATATTTTGTCTTCGAACTGAGGAGATAAAAAGGGTCATGGGAAAGGTCATAGGAAATTTTAGAAATGTTATTATGACACCCGGAGTATATAAATAAAAAGTTCTGTATATTGCAAAAAAAGTCTACCGGATTTTTATATATGGAAAACTGTAACAGTTCGGGGGAAATTGTAGTTAAAGGAGAACTATGAGGGGGGAGGGGGTGCTTTTCACTCGCCTCATAGTTCTAGCCGACCTGTGACAATGAGACTGTCACAGGTCGGCTCAGTAGATCGGGAAGTGAGCGAACACATACCGGCGTCCGCTCACTTCACGATCCTGTCACGGCTCTCTGCCGTGACAGGGGAGGGGCTGGATTCCCCCCTCCCCGCTCCAATCCGCCAGCGCTGACTGGCGGAACGGACAGGGGAGGGGGCGGGTACAGCTGGCTCTGCCTCTAGATAGGCAGAGCCAGCTGTCACTCATGTAGCTGGGCGGATCCAGACATAATTATCGGGATCCGCTTTAGCTGTGGCTTCTCAGTATATAGGGAGCTGTAGCTCGCAGTATACTGAGCCTAGGGTGACTCTAGTTTGTGTCCTCCCGTTACCCTAAGGAGAACTATTGGGAAAAGCCTTAACCCCATAGTTCTCCTTTAAGGTTGAACTGCAGAAATACAGCTAAATTCATAGATGACATACCTATATGTACAGGGGTGGACTGGGACACCAAAGAAACGTAGGTCTCGGGGGCCAACCTGGCCAACTCATAAAATATTTCGACACGACACAACTACATTGTTTATCCCAATTACATTGCCTTTATTCCTGATGCCGCAAAATGACACAAGACAATTGTACTTTTCATTGAATTTATCAAGTTTGTATACAAGGGAGTAGAAATATCTGTTCCTTAAAAATATTGAAGGTATTATAGGCATACAGCACAAATATTTCCACATTGAAGTGGTTAGCTAGATCCTAAAGATAACTCACTTCTAAAAGGTTGAGCCAATATGAAGACATTTACCAATGGAAAAGCAGAACTGTTACTAGACAAGATGGTGCCAACTTGACAAGCCCATGATAAACCACAGAGCAGGGGCGGACCTACCACTGGCATAGCCGGTGCACCTGAACCAGGGCCAGAGGCTAGGGGGGCCTAGTAAGATCCAGTCCCGGGCATGATCCAGTCCCCCTTGGGTCTCTAAATTTTTAAGTAGATTTGGCTTCCGTAAGGTCCTGTGCTTGCCGGGGAACTAGCAGCGGCTTTCTGGGGAACCACAGCGGCGCCTGTTTACAGCGCATGCCCAGACCCTCTGCATGTGCCCCTGGTGAGACCTCTTACATGTGCCCCTGCTGAGACCCTTCACATGTGCCCCTACTGACACCCTCCGCATGTGCTCCTGCTGAGACACTCCGTATATGCCCCTGGTGAGACCCTCTGCATCTGGAGGAAGAATGACTGTCCAAAGTTGACCCCCCCTCCAGACAAAGCCTGGGATGCCAAGGGCCTCTGGACTCTTCATACTCTCCCAAGGCAGCAGGCCTTGGAGGCTATGGCACTTTTCATAGGCATCCTCTCCACGCAATGCCTGGGAGGCTAGGACCCTTCTAGGAGGGTTCCCTGAATATTTGACTCCTTCCCATCACTGGCCTAAACCTCCTAGTCATTGGGCAGGATGAGAAAAATATTTATAATTCATAACATTGTTTCTTCTTTATCTGTGTTCCCATCTCAGTGTTATCCTGCATGTACTCGCTTCTCATCAGGCAGCATGTGTACTTTTTAGATGTTAGCATACACTTGGTCCTGTTGGGTTTTATAGCTTATCCATATTCTGTCATAATCTTCAAGCTTTGCACAGCGGTTATTCTGACTCCGATTGTTGTATTAGCGATTTATCCCTTGCTGAGACCTCTATGCCCGGCATGTACAAGAATATATAATCACTGCGGACAATCCTTATCAGATAGCTGAACTCACCAAATGCCTTTTCCATCCACAAAGGTGCTTTATTCTGTACATCAGGTTACAGCAGACAACAGGATACAGCAGATGAGTGAATTAGCAGTATTTAAGGCGGTCAAAGAAGATAATGTTTCCAAGCATGCAATGCAGATTAACATGTGGTCCTGTTGCAAGCAGCCATGACGTAGCAAATGACTATTAAAGAAGAAGGGCGGAGCATTACACACAAGGGAAATACATCATAGATGTGAGGGAAGGGAACACAGAAAAACATGTGCAATAACCAAAATAACCAATAGATGGCAGTATATGAACTTATCCATACAATATCCATAAGTAAATGGCTTAAGGAAAATAAACTATATAATTTCTCATCTCACATTAATGTGAATATTAACTGTGCTATGAATGCAACTATTGTGGCAGCACAGCAGTCCAATCGGAAGGCCAGAAAAAGGTATTTTACACTGATTTCATGCACTGTTAGGTCATCATGTTGTACTTCATACTGCATGTAGTGGTCTATTCATATGACTGCGCCCAGATGATTCCAAACGCCAATGTAAATATCTTTTGCCTGTACACCAACATCCCCCATGTTCCCAGCCCAATCATAGTTTGCCTCAGAACTGTGGAGATGGAAAGCTCCATGGGAAAGGTCATAGGAAATGTCTTTACACAATTTAATATGACAACTCAACTATATAAATAAACAGTATTCTGAATTTTCAAAAACATTACCAGATCTCAGGTTTCCTCTGGTGCAAGATCCAATGTCTCTCACTCTGTCTTATTTCACTCCGTACCCTCTGGGGTTCTGAGTCTGCCTCAGGTTATGAAATATTATTATGCGTCCCAAATTAGTCATCTGGTGTTGTTTCATGAGACCCATGATATACAGTACCTCTTGGGTATCAGTGGAGGCCTTTCTCCTGCCACCCACTTGCTATTAACAACCCCTTGTGGCTACCCCCACGCTGGCTCACCTTTGTCTCTAACCCCATCACCACCCATTGTTTGAGTACTGTGGGGAACTTATTTCTCCACATTCTCCACTGCTGACCCTGTTAGGCAATCCCGCATTTACACCAGGTTTTGAACAGCCCAACTGTTTGCTTTAACTGGATTAAGTACCAGTTGCTGAGTGTCCCCAAAATGGTTACTGATTTTGGCGTCAAATATTTTCCCTCCCTGTTAGAGAAATAGGATCTTCCCCCCTGGAGAGGTGTTTTGCCATCTTCAGGTCAAACATTATCTACACACCTTGAGGCAGACCTATCCTGACCTGCTAAAGAAAGCACATGATCTCCCTGCTGCACTCCCTGCTTCTCAGTCCTGTACAAACTATTCACCCCGCTATGCTGTTAGGTGGGGATCGGAGCTTGGAGGTGCAGAGGATTGGAATCAGATTTGGGTCTCCACCTCTAAGAGTTCCACCACAGTGTCAGCCCTTGAGACTAACTACCCTGTTTCCCTGAAAATAAGACCTACCCCGAAAGTAAGACCTAGCACTATTTTTCAAGATTCCTGTAATATAAGACCTACCCCGAAAAATAAGACCTAGTTTGGTGGTAGCATGTGAGGGGGAACGTGAAGAGCAGGTGAGATGGTATCAGCCTGCAGGGACATACTGTATTAAGGGGATGACAGGGGACTCCCTCCGGCCAGCGCAGTGACCGGTAGCACTCCAGTACCAGACTTCAACAACTGCTGTCCCCCTGAAGGCACTGCTTAATGTAATGGTACTGTACTATAATGTGTACCGGTAAATGGTACCGTACTTTACCGCACTGTCCACTGTCTGATGTCTCCACTGCTGCACCTGCATTGGATTTCTAGAGCCTTGCTTTCGTACCTCCTACTCTAGGAGGTCCATCACAGTGTCAGCCCTTCAGACTAAATTATGAAAAGCTTATGGGATGGTACTTAGATCTGCATTGGAGTTCCAGAACTTTACCTTTGGTTCCCTCTACTCTAGGAATTCCACCATAGTGTCAGCCATTCAGTCTAATTATGAAAAGCTTATGAAATGGTACTTAGTTATGCAATGGATTTCTAGAGCCTTGCTTTCATACCTTCTACTGTGAGTTCTACCACAGTGTCAGCCCTTCAGACTCATTATGAAAAGCTTGTGAGATGATACTTAGTTCCGCATTGGATTTCCAGAACGTTTCCTTAGGATCCCTCTATTCTAAGAGTTCCACCACATTGTCAGCACTTCAGACTAGTTACAAAAGTTTATGCGATGGTACTTAGTTCTGCATTGGATTTCTAGAGCCTTGCTTTCGTACCTTCTACTCTAAGAGTTCTACCACAGTGTCAGCCCTTCAGGCTAATTATGAAAAGCTTATGAGATGGTACTTAGTTCCGCATTGGATTTCTAGAGCCTTACTTTCATATCCTTCTACTCTAAGAGTTCCACTAGTGTCAGCCCTTCCGACTAATTATGAACTGCTTATGAGATGGCCTTTAGTTCTGCATAGGATTCCCAGAACTTTACCTTTGGATCCCTCTACTCTAAGAGTTCCACCGCAGTGTCAGCCCTTCAGAATAATTATGAAAAAGCTTATGAAATGATACTTAGTTCCACATAGAAAAACTAGAGTATCCCTCTACTCTAAGAGTTCCACCACATTGTCAGCCCTTAAGACTAATTTGAACTGCTTATGAGATGCTACCAGGGCTGCCATCAGGGGGGGGTACGGCCAGTACTGGTGTAAGGGGCCCAGGTGGCTGGAGGGGCCCAGGATCCAAGCAAGCATTTCTGTTATAGATTATTATGGACAGATGAATTAGTTAGGTTCCGGGCCCCCCTGTGCTAATGGTACCTTCCTGATTACGTTCAGCGGCGGAGCCTTTATTCCTGGGCAGAAGCACCGAAGACCAAGGCTGGAGCGGAGCACAGCTGCTGCCTCCTGCTTCTTTTCCTTAGTAAAATGAGACACTGTCCGACCGATGGTCCTATGCGGGGGAGGGAGAGTGAGAAACACTGACTGACGCTGAAAGGAGGAGGGAGTGAGCCTGAGAGACACCATCGACACTGAGAGGGGGGAGAGTGAGAGACACTGACTGATACTGAGAGGAGGGGGGAAGAGTGAGCCTGAGAGACACCATCGATGCTGAGAGAGCAGGGGGGAGAGAGAGACAACGACCGACGCTGGGGGCGGGGGGCAGGCCTAAAGCTGTGTAAGGGGCCCCACAATTCCTGATGGCTGCCCTGGTTGGAGTACTAGATGTGCGGAAGCCAGTAAGGGCCCGGTCATACTATAGTGTTGTGCCGAGTGCACGTTATGACACAGTGCACCTAGTGTGAACGGGCCCTCAGTGTGGAGAAAGACACCGACCGATGCTGAGGGGGGGGGCAGGCCTAAAGCTGTGTAAGGGGCCACACAATTCCTGATGGCTGCCCTGGATGCTACTTAGTACTTACTGTACTTCTGCTTAGGATTTATAGAACCTTGCCCTCTACCTGCGTTAGAAGCTGCTGAATGGAAGGTACATCTGCTCACATATGGTGGATGTGTCCTGTTGTGTCCCAATTTTGGTCCATGAAATCCATACCTTGCTTGGCTTCACGTAGAGACCCCTTCATTGCCCTTCTCAAGAAGAAACTGGTGGGCTGGACCCTAAACCAGTTGAAATTGCTTCAGCACATACTTACGATGTGTGAGTAGATGAGTGATCATGTGATCCTGGAAAACTACAATTTCCCTCAATGTTCTTGTAATAAATAAACCCCAAAATCTGTAGAAATTCCCATTTTTTATTATATATAAAAACAAGCCAACGGGTGACACCAGTAATGTAACAGCGTACTGCCGGAGGCAGACCGCGCATTGCCCGTGGCTCCTTAGGGTTCTCATGGGACGCCATGCTGTCTTCTGAGCTCAGGAGGTATTGACGAATAGGATGTTCAGGATTAGAGTCATTGCAGGAAGGATTAGCCAAATTCTGTGGTCACAGATCACATGTCCTCCCGGAGCTGGAAAAAGAAATGTGATTTTTATCAGATATGATAGCCAGATGGGTTTGTTTTATTCTTAAAGTGGACCTGTCATCACATATGATATTCATGTTAAATGCAGCAAACTAACAAATACCAATGTAACCCTTCCAGGTATTCCAGAATCATCTCAATGCTGCTGATCTCCTGCAGGCACTTTCTGTCTGTATGCGCTCGCTAGATCCCTCTAATCAGCTGGGAGCATGAGCTATGCTTATTGCAGAGCTATTAGTGTGACTCAGCAGGGAGGTGTGTTGGACCGCTGCAGAGAGACCAATGTTTCCACACAGAGAGCAATGGTCCTTCTCTGCAGCATGCTTGATGAGGACAGGTTTCCCTACTCCCCGCCTCTAAAGAAAACCAACTGCAGGACTTTGCACTGCTTGTTTTGATGTGAGTTGACAGTTCAACTGTTCTTTCATCTTTTACCCGGCTCTGCTCCCAGGCCCGGATTCCCCACAAGGCCACCGAGGCCCGGCCTCGGGCGGCAGGGCGCAGAGGGGCGGCAGCGGAAACCTGGCTTTGGGGCGTCAGGGAGAGTAAATCCGCCCCTGTCTGCTACCTCTTAGAGCACCGATTCTCCTGTCACCTGAACTGGACTCAGACATATTTTATATTCAGATCAATGACAGTATTATCATGGGTGACACAGTCCGGTGCCACGGAATCAATAGGCCAGGGGGCCCCGTTAAAATTCTGTTCTAGAGCCCCAGTAATTTCTAATTATGCCCATCACACCCCT